GGATATGAATATCTATAATGAGCAAACGATCTATGACATCCAAACGAATCGTAATCAGAAATCGTGAAAAATTTAGAGTCGTGTCGCTTTAGAATTTTTTCACTTAATTGATCTCTATTACGTAGAATATGAAATTAAATCGATTGTGCTATCAGATGTAAAGTTCAAGATGCAAAAGTCAAATTACACGTGAAAAATACTGTGCGTAAGAAGAAGCAAAGAGAACGATTCAGGGATATACTTAATTCGACATTCAACTACGTCGTATCCTTCACCTCGGTCGTAAATTCTGTCGTAAATGTTACTTACAACAACGATGACACCACTAGTAGAATGGCAAACTCGGTGAAAGATAGCTCTATCTCATCGAAAGATGATTCTACTTCCTTGCCGGTCGATATTTCCATCGACCTGCGTCAACGTTGGCTCGACAGACCGGCATTTGTTCAAACGGCAGACAAGAACATTCGACGAATAATCGGGGACATCGAGGTTGAACGAGCGAGTCGTGAAAAATCCGACTCGGCTCGCCAGTACCCGGTCAAAGGTGAAGTGAAACGACTACGAGAGCGGCTGTGTTTCGAACGAATCGCCGATTTCTCGAGGAAAAGGTCGACACTCGAGCCGAAAGATAATAGAAAAGAGTGGCGCGAACGCCATTAGACGCGGCGAAGTTCCTCGGTCGGCCGTTGTTAAACCGGCCGGCGTGGTGGCGCAACTATCCACGTGGTGCGCGGCAGCAGCAGGCGTTTCGCGATCATTCTATCTAGCAGTTTATTTGTAAACACTAGACCGGGACGACACACCGTGAGAAAGATGGACGCGTACGACAACGACGTACATCGGCGGAACTGGGAGGATCTGGACGTGACGAGAGAGGAGCTGAACAACCTGACCGAGTGCCTGAAGAAGGAGGAGTTCCGTAAAATGCTGATCGAGTACATGGAGGAGGTGACCGACCCGAAGAACGTGCAAGTCTATCAGAACGAGATCACCCAGCTCGAGAAGAAACGGGGCGTCGACGTGACGTTCATCTCGCCGCGGCCGAGTTACGTCATAAAAACCAGCGTGAACGGCGATCGAAAATGCTTCATAAACGTTTGCACCAGTGAGCACGTAGAGCCGTCGTTCGAGCAAGGTGATCGCGGACAGTGGTCGATCCCGCACATGTTGACACCGCCTCGCGATGACCTTGACAAAAAGAATGTGCGTTGCAAAGTCTTCGACGTGATATTTCACCCTGACACGATTTTTCTATTTTTGAAGCACGCCAAGCTTCGCAAGATAATCAACGACACGGCGATGGACGGCGTGGAGAACAACTTCAACGTAAGAGTTTCTTTAGTAACAGTTGCTACGCTAGTAACAGGCTATGTTAGTTAACTTATCTATTTGTCCTTATCGCCTGTTCTTTTTTTTTCTCTCTTTCTCTCTCCCTCTTTCGCCGCGCATGTAGGTCAAACTAGATAGAAAGAACATCAAGTTCCCGCACATAAGGTACAAGGGAGTCTGTCATCCCACTGTGATCAGAAAACCATCCAAGGACCCGCCTGAGAAGGAGCTGGACATAGAGCCGGAGATCTATCAGAAGCTGATGGCCAGCTACGACGAGAGCAGGCAGCAACAATTCAAACGTGCGGAGAAGGTGCCGGCAAAGTGTTCGCCACCTACCAAGTATTACAACAAGAAAACAAAGACCCTCCTGGACAAAGATCAGGCAGACGTTACCAAGTTTGCCACGCCAAAATTCACCATAAAGTATCGAACCAACGTGGAGCTGGAGGACTTTGGCAGCAATAGATATGCGAAAATGAACGCCACGGTACCCAAGGCACTGATCGTCACCGTGGACCTGCCATTGCTGAAAACTGCCACCGACGCTTCCTTAGACGTGCAAGAACGTCTGCTCTGCGTGAAGAGCACGAAGCCTGCAAAGTATCTGCTGAAGCTTCCTCTGCCTTATCGCGTGGACGCAGACAGGGGTAACGCCAAGTTTGACCAGAAGCACAAGAAGCTCGTTGTCACACTGCCAGTTGTCGAGCCAACGATACCGATCTACTCGACCAGCAACACCAAGGAGGACGATGAAGCTCATGTAAGCAGTGATAGTAATTCGGCGGAAGACTCGAGCAGCCAGAGTCAAGTGATGGTTGATAGTAGCTCCACGTCCAAGTTGATGGAGGAGTGTGAAACAGTGTTCGCAGCCACGAAAATTGGACAGGAGAGTGAAAACGTGGAGGACTCGAGTGAGAGTACGCTAAGGACTACTAGCGCGGGAAACGCATGCACGTTTCTAGATCCTAGTGTTAAGTATTCACTGCCAACGTTCACCTGTAATATATATAAGAAACAATTGACCATCACCGTGAACGTCAAGAACGTCGACCCGAATTCCATACGCTATAGAATTTTGCAGAACAACGTAGGGATGCACGCTTCGCTGACATCCGTAGGCGCGGGATTCTTCCCACAGCACTACTCGCTGTGTTTCAAGATTACCGAGAACTCCTTCGTCCCCGAAACGTTCACGGTCGATCCGTGGGACAACAACGTTGTGTTCAGCATCACGTTGAAAACTATGAACGACGTGACGCGATACTACGTCGGTCTGGACGAAGAGTTCATGGAAGAGAAACACTTCCCTAATAACGCAGCTTTGAAGGAACTAATAAGAGACTTGATAGTAAGTGTTTGAACAATGAGCAAAAGCTAGAAATTAAGTTTATGTGCCCGTAACCGGCATACGAATTTTAATTCCCCCTGGACACTTAACTCGCTAATGTATACTGATATACTTGCCGATTAATCTGCGATTCCATTTCATAGACATTTTAATTGTTTTACCATATGTTTCTATTTAAATCCTTTGCTATTTAAAAGCAACACACACTTTCTAAGAGAAGAAAGAGAGAAAGGATTTTCTCGTTACAATTTCCATCTCCAATTCTATTGTAATTATATAATTCGAACGTAATAATTATAATCACGTGTCGAAAAGTTCGAATTTTGCTTATATAAAGTCATAAACTTTCATCATCGTTATATAAACGGCTGTCTGAGTCGAAATTTTATTTTAATACAAACTGACATCAGCAGTTGCATTCTTTTTTTTTTTTTTTCACTCAAAAGACACTAGAAGCAACCTTGAATTGAATTATATTGTTAAACGAGCAAGGTTTTTTTTAGGTGAAATCGCTTAGAAAGATAAAATATAAAAAGCAAAGGAGGAGAATAAAATACAATAGATCAGACTGCACGACGCCAGTTACGGGTTAAAAATGTTCTTGTACTCATCGACTCATGTTCCACAGGATGGGGAAGACGACGATAATGACGAAACGGATCGAACAGTCGACGTACGGCCAGAGGATGACGGTGTCGTTATAAACATCGCTGCCAATCATTTAGATACGGATGACGAGGTTGAACGACACAGTACGACGTCGATCGAAGAACAAGCGAATCTCTGTCATACTATGTCAAAGAACAGATCTGTTGCAGAGAGCAGCGGGGACGAACTGACAAGTAATAACATAACAGGCTCATTCCCGAAAGGTATATTGAGATCTCAAGGCAACCGTAATCTTTCGCGTTCAGTATCCGAATCCAGCGCCGACGAAAACGGAACTGCTGCATCGTCCGTCGAGTGCCACTACGACTCGATACAGGATCTGAATTTCGAATCAGACTGCGCCAGCTTGAAAAAGACCGTACGATTTAACGACGTAGTATCGCGACAATTATTCAGGTACACAGACCGGCCCAATTTTTACCAGCACAATCTTTTCAATTTCATTGCTATTAGAATCACTCTGATCACTGAATTCCTTTTAACTGCGTTGTGTGATTTTATCATTTTTGCTTCTTAAATAACCGGGAACAACTTCGAATTAACTTCGTCTGAATTACAATTGGGAATAGAATAATTCTCTCGTTGTTCTTTGATGATAAAATTCATTCACGATGTTCAAAGTAGAACGATCTTTCCCACCTCCTGCGGGTTTCCACGTGCATTAATCGAATTATTGAATTCTTTTAGATCTAATTCTAGTATCCTCGGTCAACGTAAAAAGAATCAACGTAAATTGCGCAACAAGAGGCGCGCTCACGAGCGCAAAATGAGCGAGAGCGAGAACTCCGAAACGGAGGAGCGCGACAAGTACAAAGTAAATCAAAAGAACGCCGAGACGTCCGAGGCGAGTATCAAAGAAGAAACGAATGAAATTTACTCGAGCGAGGCTCACAAGAACGAGGTTAAGGCGCAATTTAAGAACGATCTGATATTCGACCTCGACATGTAGATTACGGCCAACCCAAGGCATTCTTGTGATGCGTGTGTGATAATTTTCGAATGCTTTTCAAAAAGCGAATTCAACCGACGGTTCCCGAAACCGTCCCTCGTGGAATTTCTGGATGGAAGAAAAATTGTGGAATGCTACTTATTGTTGCAGTTGTATGATAATTTCTTGATGAAATTGTACACCCGTACTAGAGCGCGTAGCGCAGAGAAAAGTAACTGTAGGTGTAATAGAACTTGTTTTTTTTATTTTATTTTATTTTATTTTTTTTTGTTCGATAGTTAAAAAACGTCGATCGTATTCTATTATATAATGCAGCTGGGCTCTTTACAACGCGAATGAAACACGTTTCGCGAGATCTGCAATTGTAGCAATTTCTTGAAGTATTACAATCAATTCACAAAAAAAGAAAAATACAAAAAAAAAAAAAAAAAAA